TTCTGCAGCCAAGTCTTGGGTGACTGCAGCCCTGTATGACAGATGACAGCAGCCATGTATAAGATCTTGGGCCACAGACAACTGGTGAAGGTGTCCCATCAATGAGGGTTTGAGGCATGGCTGCTGTTCTAAGTCATCATGATTTGAGACATTTTTTTGAAACAATAAAGAAATGAATATCTTAGTACTTGAAAGTTGGGAGCTGCCATAGTAGAAGCACAGGAATTTGGGAGTAGCTTAGAAGTGAGCAGGGGTCAGAGGCAAGGGCATTCTGAGTAGCATATTAGAGAAAGCCAAGGTGTCCTTGGTGGATTGTGGTGGTCTTGGTGAAGGCATCTGCTTCTGGGTACTGAGAGTTCAAGAGAAAGTGGGAAACATGTCTTGGGAAGCTGGCAGAGGGCATCCTGTTGCATCTCTGCAAGAACTCAGTATTGCCCTCACCTGTGGGCATGCGGAGAGTAGCGATGTGACTACTGTGCTTGACCGATCCTGAGCATCGTGCTGAAGGTGCTGTGGATTGGAAACCATACAGGACAAGAGACAAATCGGGAAAGACTTTTAAAAAAGAAGCCAGGACCTGATGGTTTGTAAAATTCTCAGCCTTCTGCTGACAAAGAATGGAAGTATTAAAATGGTCCCCAAGCATGGGAGAAATGCAGGGCACTACCAGGAAAAGACTGCTTAGTGATGACCTGAGGGTCTGGCTGTAAGAACATTGGTAAAGACCTTGGAAAGCACAAACATGGTACTGAAGAGGACTGTGCATCACACAAAAGGCCCATCAGAGGGACTGGGAGTCCATCTCTTAATCAAACCTCAGGGTTTCTAGGAAGCTTATGGAATTATGGCTTATGTTAGAGATGTTCATGTTTGCAGCTCTTACTTAATGAAGTGAATCTCCGTGATATTTACAGGAGGTCCATCCAGAGCTAGAGGTAATTATACCTATGGATACACTGTCATCTTGAATTTAAAAGGATAGAGGCAGCATCCATTCAATACTGCAGTTGTGTCCCTCAAATTGACAGGGGGCATGCTTAGAGAGCCACACAGACACAAATGCTTGATTTCTTCTGATCTTCTCCATTGAGGGTGGCACCTAGGGCCGGGGAGGATTAATCAAGTCTCAATCAGGGAACTTCCACAGTGTTCCTGGCTGTAAGCCAGAGTGGCTATGGGCTGGTGGCTCCTTCAGGGCTCTCATGTCCTTCCTTTTGCATAGGAATGTCTATGAAGATTGTTCTACATCTGCTTGAACTTTGTGGTTGGATGTGTGGCCTGGGCAGCAGGTGATTCACCTCTTCTCAAAAGTCTCACAGTTGAGAGGACCTGGGCGCACACAGATCTTTTAAAGATGTGCCATCCCAGCAGCCCCATCAGTCACCTCACCTGGCTTGGATCAGGAGACCCTTTGAGCTGATGCTGTCATGCCGTAGTGAGGTGAAACTTTAATAGGCTATGGAGTAGCCAGGCTCTAGTGACCACATCACATCAGCTGACAGTCTTGAGAATTGTCCAAGATAGTTTTTGTGTCTTGTATTTTCCTTTTGGGTCATGAGGAGTGAAGTTTCAGGCTAGAAATTTTTTCCACCAGTTTTGGCTGTGCTTGGCATCATCACCAGCTTCACAGGTGTTAATTCACCCAACCGACTTCCCGGCCTCCCTTGTGCACATCTGGACCACCCTGGAGCCCTGCAGGAGGTAACCCTGGATGCCACTCTCCTCAGATACTGAACTTTGAACTTGTTTTCATGAATTAAAATTCTGGTCCAGGAATAATTCCTTATCCCAAGCTGCAGTAATTACAGACAGGAATCTGTATTTACTGTATAATTGGAGGTTTGCCAAAAAAGGAGAAGAAACTTGTGAAAGCTGTTTGACCTAGTATGTAAACAACTGAAGCTCAAGTAATTGTTGCTTCTAGAAGGTTCACTAAGAACCTTCTAGAAATTTCCAGGCACAGGACATCCATTTGGGAGGCCTGGATCAGTGAATTCTAACTGCTGTTAGGGTACACAAGCATTCAGATGATAGCAACGTGTGTGAGAGGAGAAGCTGACAGGTATACTAAATTCCCAGAACCCAGAACAGAGGGGAGGGAGTATGGGATCCCAGAGCAAGGCCCATGGTGACTGTAGACAAATCCCTTGTCTCTCCAGGTTCTTGACTTCCAGGTCACGCTGTGGTCTATGGTAAATGTGAATTGAGGAAAGTTGACATGATTGAATTTAAAGTTTTGGTGTTTGAATGCACATTTGAAATTACTTGGACAGTATATGGGAGCACTATACCTCTTTTTATTGTAGAAAAAACAAATGCAACAGATCCCACAAGATCCCCCACACAGAGGCACTGATAAAGTATAATCTATTCACATACTTAATCAATCAAGTCTCATGTCACATCTCTATGACGTGTGAATGGCATCATCTGCAATACTGATCCGACAGCTCACGGACCTGGTTGATGTTAGGCTGAAGGAAAATTACGCTATTGAGCCCAGTCTCTGAGGTGGACATGGATGCCCACAGACGGCTGGTATCGGTGTTTCTCCTAATGACTGGGTCTGCTTCCTGCAAGAGCAGGAAGTGGTGTGGGGCCAGGAGTTCTGCCAGATGCCCTGGCTCTGCTGCTTTCATTCTCTGTTCACTCCAACACCTTGGTTTTTTGGTGGTATCTAGACAGTGGAATCTGAAAATGACTGTGGTGGGCGAGACTGTCCCTCACCAAGATCTGAGGGAGTGGCAGGCCCTCTCCTTCTTCTCTGGAGAAGATCAAACAGACTTGGCTTCCAGTCCTGCTCTGTTACCCTTAGCTGTGTGATATTGGGCAGGTAACTAGGCCTTTCTGGGCCTCCTCATGGAAGTAACAATAGTGTCCAAGGGGCTACCATTCTGGATTAGGTGAGATGCTTTGTTGGAAGGACCCAGCATACACCATGTGCTCTCTCTCTCTTCCCCTGGGTCTGGACAGTGCCCTCGTCACTATTTTCTGGGATGACATGTGAGCATCTTGGGGGACTTGATTCTGGCTACCACACTTGGGGGTAATTAGTTTCTCATAAGAGAATCCTTTTTGTATTTCCTCCCCTAGTTTGGGGCTCTCTCTGTATGATATCTACTAAGTAAATGTCATGGAGAGGGTCTCAGTGAAGCAGTGCTGTCCTCTGGCTCATGGGCTCCACCTGTGGTGTCCAGAGAGTGGAGGCTTAGCAGGAAGTGGCATTTCTGGCTACCTTAGGACTGGATGCCATGTCTTTGAGGAGGTACAGGGAAGGCAGATTAGTGCTGTGGTTTGAAATGTGAACCCCACACCCCAATTCTCCTGAGGTCCAGCTGTATGCTTTGCAAAGACTTAACATACACGTAACATTTTGATGTTTAAATGGCACTGCTTTAAAAATGTACTAAAATTGTGACCCTGTAAAGTCACAACTGGGGAGGACTAGGTGACTTAATACATGTAAAATGAGCTCACAAGCAGACGCTTGAGTGTTGGCTCTTACTGCTCTTTGAGAAAATTAAATAATGGGGATTCCGTGTGATTAATTAATTATACTTGCAACAAAATCTGAGCCTTCTTAGGCAATCTTGACATAAATTGGATGGTTCTGTGGTCTTGAACCCACGGCAGAAGCTCCTGAGGGTCACGGGGTGTGGGAGGCTGAAGCTCAATCTCGGTTCCTTATGTTCCCACCAAAGAAATTCAAATTTAAAGTCAGACACCAAAAGCCACTCAAGAGAACTTCATTATGAGAGAAAGTAAAGTGAAATGAAGGTGAAGATGACTTGAGTGCAGCTGGGGTTTCCATACTGCGGGGCTAGTTCTGTAAACCAGCCGGCTACTTGCAATAGTCCTCAACTCAAGGATCGCACCTTGACCATGCCTGGTTTAAATCATGTTTCCAGGGAATTTTGACAGCAGACGCTTTCCACCCTGTGTTCTCTGGAGGCTTGAGCTCTGTGTCAGAGCCCGCTACATTCTATGACCTGCAGAGAGAGCTTCTATGAACTTAGCATATTTTCTAAAGTTTGCAAGGTGATGTCATTGTTCTCTCCAGTGACATCACCTTGCAAACTTTAGGGGAGAGCTGTAGTTTTCACCTGGTGCATGCACAGTCAATCTAACAGGAGGAACTGTGAGTTTTTGAGAAGATAGAAGACACGGCATGGATCCTGTCTCAGAAAGGTGACACTCTGGGACACTCAGGAAAGAATGCAAACCCACCTGTGCTGAGAGACTAAGCCAAACAGAGAGTAATGCTCAGAACCACAGCAGCTTTCTCCAGGCTGTGGCTGCATTCCCTGCCTCACTCCATCTTAGAAACACGATACACGATGCTTCCACTAAGGGGAAAGATTTTGGGGAAAAAAAAAAGACAAACTGCTTCAAGCTTGTGGAAATGAGAAGTGGCTATGACCAGACACTCACCAGTCCACTATCCAGCAGTGTCCTAGGTTGGCCTTTGCTGTCCTGACTCGGGAAAGGTTCTAGAGAGGGAGAGACACTCCCCACTGCATGGCAGCTGGAGTCTTCCATGCTGGGAGCCCAGCCCGGCTTGGCATGCACAGGGCCATGGGGACACGTGCTTGCAGACCACCAGGGTTGGCATGCATTTGGTTTTGCTTCCCCCTCTTCTCCTGGCAGACAGGGCTCAAGAAAGCGAGGCCATTCTACCCTGGTAGGTTATTGGAGGCGATTCACAAGAGCCAACAACCAAATGATGCCGTGACCATCTCTTTCATCTGTGGCTTTAATTTCATTTTTTTCCCGGCTATTTAGACACAACACAAAATAGATGAGATGATGGAAATCCACAAACATTTGGTTTAGGAGATTGTAGCATCAATGATCCAAAGAGTGCCTCCCGGGTACCAGCCTCTGTTTACTGCACAGGTGGCTGAGAACAGCATAAAACCCTGCTGGAGCCAAACTCAAATTTCAAAATGGTCTAATCATTTTCAATAAAACTTCAACAGCACATTTTTCATTATGTAGGGTCTTCCTGCTTTTGTGAATGCTGAAAACTGTGCCCAGCTCATCTCATCACAGATGCACCATCTCTAGCCCTCAAAGACCGAAGTGGCTTCAGTCCTCTCTGACTCAGAGATTCTCCCTTGCTGCTGGGATGTCACCTGGGCAGGTGAATCCACCCACTTCCAGAGTTCCCTGGACCTCCCCTCCTTCTGGGTGGAGGCCTCTGTGCCAGAACCTCTGGAGTTTCTCACACAGGGAAGGATCCGTGCATGGAAATCTGTGTAAGCATTTCACAAATGAAGTTTGAATGAGCTACTGTCCCCTCTAATTGCCAATTTCACCTGATTACCCCCAGATCCCTGAACTCCCTGCAGAGGGGGAGGAGAGATGGAGTCAAAGAGTGCAGGTCTTGTTAGGGTCCCTTTGTTGTCCATCTTTCAGGGCATTCATCCTCTGTCCCTTGCCACCCTCTTTCTGTCCATCTTGTGCCTACCTAGACCTCACTGAGCTATATGCTTAACTTCTTACTTAAACATGACCATGGGACAAAGCAGCCTGTGTTGGAGGGGAGTGTTTCAAGCTTGGGTGGTTCTGTGGCCCAGAGAGCTGGACCTCCTTCTATGTTGGTAAAGTGTCAACTCTGCTTCAGCTGAGACTGCTGGGGTCCTCCTGTAGGGCAGCTCACATGCCACAGTGTGCCCTTGCCATGTCCCTTCCTCAAGTGTTTTGCCAACAGGATGTGGCCTAAAAATTGGTAAAAGCATGTTATTTTCTCATTAAATGACATACATCCTCTTCCTCTGGGCCAATCCACTTCCTTCCTGGACAGTACTGCCCTATCCTGTCTTCCATTTGTCTCTACTTGTAGCAGTGAGTTGGGGGTGGGGAGGGGGCAAGCGCAAGGTGGTTTTGAATTTGGGAGCCAGCATTGTCATGTACAGGGGTTCAGGGAAACCCTCAAATTCAGTGAAGAGTGTGAAAATTATTTCAATACAATCCACTCTCTGTGTTTTTCAGAAGATCAGTGTCACCTCTGCCTGCTGCTAGCAGTGAATCC